GACGGTTGCCCGACTTTCTTTCCACTGTGTGAGCTACTGACAAATATAAACAAATAATTAAACCACCGAGTCCTCTAGTCGACTGGGACGTAACACTCTGTTGTACAAGTCTAAAAAAAAATTCTTATTGTTTGCAAAATGCCCAATTAATTCATGCATGACTCACGGTTACCGGCAGGGCGCCGATCAGTTACCGGGGCTTTGTTTACCATGCATTCATTAATCGAAGGTGATAAATAGTCGGTATTGGTCCTATCAGTACGGTAATTGTCCAGCCGGTACAGTAAAGCACCGGCCGGTACGGTAACGCAACGGTCGGTACGGTAACGCAACGGTCGGTACGGTAACGCAACGGTCGGTACGGTAAAGCAACGACCGGTACGGTAAACCGAGTCAAACTCACAGGAAACCGGCTGGGTGGTAATGATCAGTTCCCTTACTGTGATAAATTGTTTCATGTCACATTTCAATTACCATAAACTAAAAAATTAAAAATGTGTCACTCGCTCGAATATTTCTCAATTGGTAAGGTAATAAAATCTTGCTGCTAGAAATGTTCGTTATTTCACAATTTGGGAAGGTTTGCGAGGACAAAATTTTGTGAAAGTCACTGCGACTACTCGTCTTAAAGACTTCAATGAAATGTTTGCTGCAACAATATTTCAGTAAAGTCACTGTGACTTCCTGTCTCAACACATTTCCTGTTGGCATCGTTTTTTTTTCCCATTCATTTCGGCTATCTGCAGGCAATGTGTTGAGAACCCAAGTGAAGTCTTCACTACTACAGTATTTCATGACTTTCATTGTTTTGCCAAAATTTGTCTTGCAAAAATCAAAAAATGATATTGACAAGTTGCTATGCCAGATGAAGTCACACACATCATCACGTGTACCAAAATTACCCAACCACCTGTGATACACGGTACATACTGATTCATCGTCTCCAATTCCATCTGGTCCTGCCATTTACGCACAAAGTGACGAACCACTGGTGCATGATCGAAAAAAGCCGCATGATGTATAGCTGCCCAACCGTCTTGGTCAGTTAGATACATGTCAGCCTTGTTCCCAATCAGGCACACAGCGGCATCCAGAGATCCGCACCGAGCAGCGAGGTGAATTGGAGTTGGACCTGTCAATTACAAGATAACAAGTACTGTATTAGTAGTAATTTAAAATTGATAATATCCCAGTGCCTACTACATTGTTATTGCCGAATGCTGGTGGATCTACAGCCTAGCAATAAATCTTTGTATTTTTGGTAATTGCACATCATGTTTTTTTAAAGTTTGTGTCAGAATTTTAAAAAACAAATTCACATAAATTTCAAAATAGAATCCAAATATTTTTAACATAATTTTATTCAATTTGGAAAACAAATTAACCAGAAATATTTGTCTGGACCTTCTTCCAATCTTCCAGTTTCTACTAAATTAAGACTGTTGATACAAGTGAATGTGACCATATTTAATTTATATTCCATTTGTGAAGCAACAAGGAACACTCAGACTTGTAAATTCTGAAAAGCACCAATTTGATATGACTATAATGTGCAAACTAAAATAATATAGTGTTTGTGTTAGTAAATACATCATTCTAAGCTACACCATGTTATGCTCACACAAACTATAACACTGTTAATTAATTCTCCTTCAAAAAGACGGTCCATTATTTCACCACTGCCATCAAAACTTTACCATTGAACAATTCTAAGTAAGTTTAAAATCTGTGATATTCATAACACTGCCAATGGTACTGAAATCTCTATTTTGAAATTCCAGAATGTGTGTATTTGTATATATCGGTACATATTTGGAAAAATAAAAGAACATCCCAACAATTGTACACTTCTATTCAGAATACAAACTGGTTGTGATGATCAGTTTAATTAAACCCTTTGAGTGTCCGACATCAACTTTTGTCAAAAACCTACAATTTTATCCATTTTTTTCAAAAATTTGTGATTGAGATGTATAGACAACATAAAATTATGTTCATTTTTTCTAAAATTATTAAAAACGTCCAGATTTGAAATATATAGCAAAAATATCTGGGTCGAAAAAATTAGACGATTCAAACACCAAAGTCAGCATTCATAAAATAATTCTGCATTATTATTTTTTTTTAAATTTCAATCAAAAAAAAATTATTGATAAATGCATAAATCTGTGCGACTAAATGATGGTAGAAAAAATATGCCATTCAAATGGGCAGCTAAAAGAATGGCGGCCATCGTACTACATATCACTTGATTTACATTTTATTTATGTGAACGTTTGTGGCACGATGAGCACTGACTTCAGACTGCATGTGTATTCCGATTGAACACATCCATGTTGCACTTGAGCACGTGGATGGTTTCACCTTTATACCCAGCATGCAACAGTGGCAATAAACCACATTACCCATATGGTGATGATGTGGCATGCAACATGCAAGTGAAAAAGTAAAAAAGCAACAATGTCTTCTTACCTATAGATATTTCTAGAAGAATGCATGCAAAAATTGATAAGATGTTAAAAATTAATTACGAAATACATTTATGCGAAGATGAAAGCATGAAAAATAACAGCAAAAATTGGGATAAAAATGCAAAAAGTACATGAAAACACCTTTTATTTATCTCCAAGCATGTTAAACCATTACCCCCTCTCTCAGCTTGTAAAGTGCATCACTGCAGTCAACCACTTAAATCGTTACTGATACAGTGCAATTTTGCCAAACATGTTAGTGAGCCACCCAAACAATACAGCATACCTCTCAGCTATCATTCCAATCATATCCCCCAAATTTGCCATTCCAATAATGCCATATACTGTGCACATAACACTGCCAATCAGATAGATCCAAATCACTTCATTCATTTATAAAC